TTATATAGAGCCAATTGAAATAAATAAACTGACACTTTTATGTACCAGCGTTTGGATTTTCGGGAAACTAAATACGGCTGCATCATCTGGTCATTGAAGTCCACCCTCCCATGTTAAGGTTATAATCGTGGACACAGAGGGGCTTCTCAACAACACCAGTTGCCGTGGTAATTTGGACGGTCGTATCTGCATGAATGGAAGACAGGAGGTAAACATCCCGTTTGTCCTTCCACTTCACTGCGAGCAATTCTTCATTTCTCAAGCAGGCTTTTTCCCCCTTTTTAAGACGGGTATTTACAAGCCGTTGGGGGAAGCCTCGGCGATTAGATCGCACAGTGCCACATGTGCAATTTCCCAAATTGAACAAATGTCTAAATAGTGGCACGCTTGAATAAAAATTGTCCACGTATAAGTGGTACCCCATGTGGAAATAGGATGACGCCAAGTCCCAAAACTATCTTGCCACTGCTCCCATGTAGTCTGGGCATCCGGGGGGCTCCAAGTAACTATCTTTTCCCTCGTAAATCCGAAACTTACATGTATAGCCTGTTGCCCTCTCACAGGTCTTATACATCTTGATCCCATATCTGGCACGCTTGCTGGGGAGATATTGTTGATTACAAGGCGGCCAGAATATTGAATGAGGGAACTCATCGATGCAGATGTTTTTCTGGGGAGTATACACATCTGCAAATTTTTGGTTAAAGTGATTTACGAGGGGCCGAATTTTGTGGAGCCGGTCAAATTCAGGGTCACCCGAGGACGACTGAGTGAGTTGTCGTAGAAGTGCATAAAACGCATTATACTCTCATATCTATGCCTGGCCATGGCAGCAGAGAACACGGGCATGTGAACAAGAGGGTCGGTGGACCAATACAACCGCAATTGATTTTTATCATTAATGCCCATGTTGAGGGTTAGGCCCAAAAAAACTTTAAATTCGGAAACCGTAATGGGTTTCCATGCGAATGGTCTGGCAAGGTTTGAATTTGGGTTGGCGGCGATTAAATTGGCGTGCATATAAATTGCTTTGATCCACAATCAATGCATAAAGATCTTCTGTGAAAAACAGCTCAAAAAAATTAAGGGGAGTATTTAAATTTGCTGTTTCCACCTGAATTCCGGGTTGGGCAGTGAATGGGGGAAGTACGGGTGCTGCAGAATTTGTGGGCTGCCAATCGGGATTTGCAAGCACATCCGGAAGGACACTAGGGGCTCTACGGGCCTGTCTGCGAATTCTTGGTGGCCGCGGGACACTACTTGTGCTCGCCACCGCACCAGCTTGTACTGCACTTATGGGACTCGCCACGTCACCAAGTGATACTGCAGTGCTGGTATGCCTACGACCAGGACGTACTAGGCCGCTGGTGCTCGCCAGTTCACCAAAAGATACTGCGGCACTAGTACTGGCACTCTGCTGCATATGAGAGTCATCATGCATTTGTACCACCTCAGCAACCTGTGAATGGGATCGGGTACGCCTGACCTTAGCAGGGACCACTTCCTCGTCGCCTGAGCTAGCTGTCAGGGTGCCTGCTGTCTATAGGTTCGTATTCTGAGCCTGATTCTGCCAGTGAGTCTTCCCCTTCGCTCTCACTTGACATGCTCAGAATCCTATAGGCCTCTTCACTAGTGTACCTTTGACTGCTTAGACATTTTTGGCCACTAAATTTTTAACAGGTACCCTAGTGCGACTCACGGGAAAAAGAGCGCCTGGCTGTCAGGGACTGCTTGAACCGCTACAAAAAATTTACCGACAAGTGCTAACAGATATCAGGCCTGATTCTGTGAACACTGCGGTTTTGTGTGTAATATGTATCAAGTGACAGTTATCTACTGACACTGCCACTTTGCCCGGGGGAGAAGGGGGGGGCGTAGGGGCTAAACGCAGGTGCTGGCAGGTGTTGGGGCTGATCCCGCTAACACTGCGTTTTTGGGGATACTAAAGTAATGTGAATGCTGGTATATAGCGCTGATCTGATCAAAGATATTGATCCAATCAGACACTATACTAGCAATGAAGGTTTAGCGTGCAAGTAAGCGTGTTCCCTGGCAATCAAGGGGTCAAATGTGATTATCTGTGTACTAGCGGGCAAACTGGTGCTATCTGGGAGGGGCGCTAACACTATTGGAAGTCGCTAGCGACACTGATACAGTGATCAGTAAAAATTGGTTCACTGAGCAGTGACACTGGTGACAGGGCAGTGAAGGAGTCAACTCAGGGGGGACGGGGGGGGGCCGGGGACGATCAAGGGGTTAGACGGGATCACTGGTGTATTAGCGGGCAATCTGGCGCTATCTGGGAGGGGCGCTAACACTAACGGAAGTCGCCAGCGACACTGATACAGTGATCAGTAAAAATTGGTTCACTGATCAGTGACACTGGTGACAGGGCAGTGAAGGGGTCAACTCGGGGAGGGGGGGGGGGGGGCGATCAAGGGGTTAGACGGGACTACTGGGTGTATTAGAGGGCAATCTGGCGCTATCTGGAGGGGCGCTAACACTAACGGAAGTCGCCAGCGACACTGATACAGTGATCAGTAAAAAATTGGTTCACTGATCAGTGACACTGGTGAGAGGGCAGTGAAGGGGTCAACAGTGAAGGGGTCAAGGGGTCAACAGGGGGTCTTGGGGGGGGCGATCAAGGGGTTAGACGGGACTACTGGTGTATTAGTGGGCAATCTGGCGCTATCTGGGAGGGGCGCTAACACTATCGGGAAGTCGCCAGCGACACTGATACAGTGATCAGTAAAAATCGCTTCACTGATCAGTGACACTGGTGACAGGGCAGTTAAGGGGTTAACTGGGGGGTGGGGGGGAAATTAAGGGGTTAAATGGCTTTATTGGTGTACTGGGGGGCAAACTGGCGCTATCTGGGAGGGGCGGCGCTAGCACTATTGGAAGTCGCCAGCGACACTGATACAGTGATCAATAAAAATCGCTTCACTGATCAGGTACACTGGTGACAGGGCAGTGAAGGGTTAACTGGGGGGGGGGGCAATCAGGGGGTTAAATGTGTCCTAGAGTGTGTTTTCTAATGTTAGTGTAGTGTTTTACTCACGTTTAAATGTCTCTTCTTCTCTGTCCTGGAACGGATTGTGTCCAGGCAGAGAAGAATGACATCATATTCCTGCCCTGTGTAAATATCAACACAGGATATGACAGGAACGGAATGTGTTCCAGGACAGAGGACGTCCTGCCCTGTGTAAAATCATTCAACACCGATTGACAGGGACCGAGCCAGCCAGAAATCACTGGCTGAAATCTAATGATTGATCCCTCCTGGATCGAATCGGATCACCCGCGGGTCGGCGCGCGTGCGCTGCGCGCGCGCGCCCCCTGCCGCGAAAGTGTCGGGAGCGCGGAACCGTTTTTAAACGTGGTTTTGCGCTCCACTGCCGCCCTGCACACGTATAAACACAGTGGCAGGGCGGCAAGCGGTTAATAAACAGCATGATGCGTAAACAACATAATATCATGTGACACAAAAATTAGCAACTACCAACATTTTCTTCTCCGGGGTCTCTGCTTTCAGAGACATATGTACTGTTTGTGGTGTTTAACCTCCTGGCGGTATTCCCGAGTGTAGCTCGGGGTTAAAGTTTCAGCACCACAAGCGGTAACCCCGAATACCTTGCAGCGATGCTCCGGGATCCCTTCTGCACTTACCTTGTCCTGTGCTCCTGCGATGTCTCTCCTGCAGTGTCCCCTGCAATTTCTCCAGCGGATGCCGGCTTCCTGGGACGTACAGGGATGGAACTGGCGGGAAATTTGAAAGTTGTAAAAGTGACATTCACTAAATACACTAAAATCACATAGTAAAACATTACTGTATCAAACCATTTCACATACATTTTGTCCCGAGTGCTTTGTCCGGCGCCCTGCCTGCATTTTTACTGTTCTTTCTGCCTGGAAACTGAGAAACGTCCATGGCGTCCAAAAAGCGTCCCTTTAGGTCAAAAGCGGCTTTAAACCGGCTAGAGAACAGCGATAGTAAATTAGAACCACTTGCAGAATTGAGTGATAATGATTCGTGGGGAAATTCGTCATCAGACGCTAAACACGATTTTGCGACTTTGATCAGTGATGTGCGAACTTGGCGCTATATTTCAAATTTCTGTGTTTTTGGTTTGATTACATTATTTAATTAAATGTATTATTATTATATTATTTTTTATGATTATTTATTAAATTATAATTTATGATTTCGTTTTTCAGATTTTAACATACCCGGGATGTTTACTAGACTCTTGTTCGGGCAGATTTCAGTGAGTTATTCCTAAAAAATGACAGGCCTACAATAAAAAAAATACATATTTCCATGCAAAAAAAATTACCGCTTTAAGCACAGAAATATGGACATAATCAGAGCGCTAGGGAGGCTACGCTATGCGCCTCCCACAGCAAAATAGAAAAGGAACTTGTAAACATATATTATTAATCCATATCAACATTATAAAATGATAAAGGTTATGCATGGATACATTAAAATTATATAGGTATGAGAATAATTGAGCAGATTTCATAAAATGCTTACACATTTTGAATCTACAGTATTTATCTACACATTTCTCCTAAAAGAGAATATGACAAAATATTTTTTGGCCATACTTCTCTTCTGGGTCACAAGAATGCACTTACTTCTTCTTGCTGTCAGCTGACATCACAGAGCCAGTCCCAGGCACTGGAAGGATCCCGACTTAAAGGTCAAAATCCACCCAGATGCCTAGACTGGCAGCTGACTCAGCCTCTCAGCACACCGCTAAGAGCCTGAGTCAGCTGCTCCCTCCCTGCCCGCCCATCCCTACCCACCCATCGCTGCAGTATGCACTAATTGGGTAGAGCAGAGAGCGGTGACTGACAGTTACTATTCTTTGCTCATTGAAGACCGAGAATATGGTCTTAGAACTGGTGGGAGACAGCTGCACCATCAGACCGATACTTCAGCCATATAGCTAAGTATAGATGTTTATTTTTTTTATTTCCCACACTTCTCCTTTAACCACTTCCTGTCCGGCCCATGTATATAAACGGCCGGACGGGAGCAATGCAGGGGTGGGTGGCCGTTTATAAACGTCCTCCCCGCTTCCCTGCTTGTGCGCACTCCCTGGGAGCACCAATAGCTGTACGGGACTTCTGTGTGAGGTCCCAATCATGTGATCACTGATTGGCCAATCAGTGATCACATGAATAGTAGTAAGCAAGATGTAATTTCTGACATCATTGCTTACTATGTGTGAAATCTGTGAATGATCACAGAGGTCACATGCTACAAGGCTATTCACAACAGCCTTGTACCATGTGACAAAACTGATCAATCACAGCTCTCACAGTATTTTTCAGTGGCTGCAGGAATGCAGCCAGAGAGAAGGAGAAATGATTGCTTTTACAGCCTTTATGGGTCAATCAATTTATTTGCAAAATTTTATAAGAAAAACACTTTTTTTCAAAATTTTTGGACATTTTCATTTTTATAGCAAAAAAAAATAAAAATCCCAGTTGTGAATAAATACCACCAAAATAACTTTTTATCTGTCTCAAAAAAATGCAAAAAATTTCATATGGGTACAGTGTTGCATGACTGCACAATTGTCATTCAAAGTGTGACAGCGCTGAAAGCTGAAAATTGGCCTGGAAGGGGGGAAAAAGTGACTTGAAGTGGTTAACCGTAGCAATTTATAATGTCTTTATGAATAACTAATATGTATTTACAAGTCTTTGATTGCTAATTTCTTATTCAGTCTTCACATCTACAGTGTATGTGTGAGTGCAACACAAGCAAGATCATGGCTGGTTGGAGGGGCTGGCAGAAAAAATGAATGGAAAGAGAGGGCCAGGGACAGTCAGATTGGGAAGGAAAGGGCTGGGTGATGCTGGATGCCCAAGAAATGAGCCAGGCTCTATCTGACTTGACGCAGCTTCTAATGCAAATTGTGAGAAGCTCACAGTGTGCATTGAAATCAGAGTAAGCAACTTCAGTACAGCAGAGGAGCCTGTAAAGATGTGCAGGACTGAAGGTGAGGCTGGAGTTAAGCTTTAGCTTTGAACATCTCTGAATGTACTGCATGTTTGACATTCAGTTTTCACAGTAATCTCTGATTATGCATTTATTTTTTTCACCGTATGCTCCATTTGGCCTGCCTTGGCTGGTGACTGGTTTATCCAAAATGCACAATTGGCATGACTGAACTATGCCTTTTATATCATGACACCACCCTGTTTATGTATAGGTACAGATGCAGCTTGGGGAACATAGATAACCGGATTGTATTGGTGTTGATTTACAGATACGTATATTTGAAGCTTGCTGCCCTTTAATTTTGCTATTGTCATTCTGTGCCCCATATCTGGAAGCAGGTATGTAGTCCCTTACCGTTCTGTATTCACTGTAGAATATTCCTTTCAATTACATAGAAAGCTAGTGTTATCTCTTCTCTTCTGGATTTTGCAAATCTCATTACTCGCATTGCGCTTAACATGATACCACCTGCTTTCATCTTGTCATTCCCCTCCTTTGGCAATTTAAATTGTGATTGGGCTCTTCAATTCCGTGGGTTTTTTTTTAAAAAGCTCATCATCTTTTCTTGGTTTTCCTTTGCCATTCAAACTTGTTGAACCCAAACAGTGCACTTGGAAGATCATATTTTTTTATCACACATTTTGATCTTATATTAGCCATGTAAACAACTTCAACCAAATGAGTTTAATTTTTGGGTGGTGAGAGGCAAAGACCATTACTTTTTTAGGGCTTTATTCCTATCTGGGTGCCCAGTGAGTAAAGGTGACTTTTTATTAAAGGCTAAGCAGATCAAATGCAGTATTTGGCCGTGATTTGCATTCACACACTTGTGTTTGAGCACCACTGCATTCAGTGCAAAAGCCAACATTTGCAGCAGCACCCATGTACACAAGCTTTTACCTAGGCCAGTGGTGGGCAACCTTTTTTTTTCAACTGAGCCAAATCTCGCCAAAACCACGATTGAAATTTATTTTGAGAGACACATTTTTAAAACTGAAAATACATCCCCCATATAGTAATTCATCCCCCATATAGTAATTCATCCCCCATAGTAATTCATCCCCCATATAGTAATTCATCCCCCATAGTAATTCATCCCCCATATAGTAATTCATCCCCCATATAGTAATTCATCCCCCATAGTAATTCATCCCCCATAGTAATTCATCCCCCATATAGTAATTCATCCCCCATAGTAATTCATCCCCCATATAGTAATTCATCCCCCATAGTAATTAATCCCCCATATAGTAATTCATCCCCCATAGTAATTCATCCCCCATATAGTAATTCATCCCCCATAGTAATTAATCCCCCATATAGTAATTCATCCCCCATATAGTAATTCATCCCCCATATAGTAATTCATCCCCCATAGTAATTCATCCCCCATATAGTAATTCATCCCCCATATAGTAATTAATCCCCCATATAGTAATTCATCCCCCATAGTAATTCATCCCCCATAGTAATTAATCCCCCATATAGTAATTCATCCCCCATATAGTAATTCATCCCCCATAGTAATTCATCCCCCATATAGTAATTCATCCCCCATAGTAATTCATCCCCCATAGTAATTCATCCCCCATATAGTAATTCATCCCCCCTATAGTAATTCATTCCCCATATTGTGTCAATTCACTTACCTTTGCTCCGCGCGTTCCTCTCGCCGTGTTCCCGCGCCGTTCCGGTCTTCAGGGCGGACTGTGAGAGGAGAGGAGTTCGTCACGCTGCCCCGCCTACATCCTGACAGCCAATGTTTGCCACGCTCCGCGGGCCGGATTAAGAGGTCCGCCGGGCCGTAGTTTGCCCATTGCTGGGCTAGCTGCAGAGTCCTGACTTTTGGGGCGGCCGCCCGAGAGGAGGGAGGGGAGCGGGCGCCCGGCACACAGAAGAGCCGCATTGAAGTGTGTAAAGAGCCGCGGCTTGCCGACCACTGACCTAGGCCATGGTTTAGCTAGTAGTAGTTAGTCACAATCATCTGAACTTGTTTTGCAATGTTAAAGAAACTTTTCTCATCTGAGTAGCTTCCTCAGCGCTGACTAACTTTAGAGTGACATGGAGTTCTTATTTATAGGGCCCCTTGATGAACTAAAATATTTCCATTATAAATTATTATGAGCTTTGCATGAAATTATAAATTTTATCAATCTAATCCATAATTGTTAAAGGGATCTGTACTATGTCATTTATTAACACACAGCCTGGTGCTGCTGTGTGTGGCAATGCAAGTGCATTGCTTTAGTGCCTTGGGGGTGCCATTCAGAATGAATGCGAGTACACGGTGCAGTACCAAGGGTTGCACTAACCACAACACAATCCAGACCTTATACTTAAAGTGTCATTAAAGTAAAAAAAAAAATTCTGTGTGTATATCTTTTTAAAAGTCTGTTCTGTATTTGATTATAGGAGTTTTCTGACATCGAAGGTGTCCATATTAGTAAATACCTGGTTGATCCTGCCATTTATGTTGGCTTCCTTACTGTTCATGGCAACCCAATACCTGTTCCTGTGGGTGCTGCCTTGCCACTCTCAGTGCGTGTGCTCTGCAAGTTTACTGAGAGGAAGCCATTCACTTCCTGTTTTTCCACTGAAGGCGTCTTCATGTGATTCTTTCGTCACTGGAGGGGTGGCTGCAGAACATTAGATGACCTGTCCTCCCAGTCCCATCCTCTCTGCCCCATGTGATCTTTGTGTCTGCTCTCAGGTGGCTCTAGCGGAGACGATTGATGGGGCTTCTTCCCTGCTAGCCAGTTAGCTATGCAAATTCTTGCTTGCTCCCCACAGTGGAGAGTAAGTAACAGATGTCACATGACCTGGGGTATAAGAGAGACAAAATCATATTTGAACAACTTATTTTCATGTGTGCTGCATATGCTTTATTAGACTGTTGTGTATTTAAAAGAGAAGTTTGGAATTGAAAAACAAACATACATTTTTACCTAGGTGGATGCAGCATCAATTCAATGTTGCATCTGTTCCCCACCACCTCTGAGACCAAGAACTGAGTAATCAAAGACTACTGATTGCTCAGTTCTTGGTCTTCAGTGAGCAGAGAGCTGCTGACTGTCAGTGTTCTGCCCCTCCAGCATTCACTGGAGATCTGGGCTGTGCAGGGGACCGGATCAGCCCAGATCTAGACATCTGGGTGGATCCTAGAGTCTGGAGCTGCTAAGTGACTTCAGGTGAACACACAGTAGTGGAGAACTAAGACCGGCTATAGATGTTCAAATCTCAACCGGTTCAACAGGAACAGGCCGAGATTTGAACCATGTGTGGACAGGGTGAATGTACCCTAGTTGATCGATCAATCAACCTGGGTACAACCAGCCTGTGGATTTTACATGCGATTATCTCTAGCAGCCATTTTAGCTGCTAGCAATAATCACTGTGTTCTCCTAGCAGGGGCAGCTTCCACCCCATCCCCCCCTTCCGGGAAAACACAATAGCTCGGCGGGAGGGTTTCCCCTGTCAACACTGTCTGTGTTGATGGGGGAATGATTGCAGGAAAGAAATTCGCTCCATCTATGGCCTGTTTAAGTGTCCGCCTGTGATCCCCAGGAGAATCAGGGCCAAACGAACTTTGGCTTTTCTTCTCCTTTAGTAAAGATCCATGCGTAGTTTGTTATATTGGGTTAATGACACTTTAGGCAGACTCTATGCCTAATATTTAATTGCTCTGTAAAAGTTCTGCTGCACAATGCTATGATAATTTTTGATCACAACAACCCAGATTTTCACCCACAGCTGCCCCTCATGCTTTGTCCCCATGAGTATAGCATTACTTCTTGCAAATGATCTTGACTACATTTTTAATTCTCTGCTCTATGAATTGATGTCTCCACTCCACAGATAAACCTGCCCCTGAGACACGTCAGTCCACATCTGGTAGATTGAAGTATCCAGTAATGACTGTCACTGTTAATTGCTTTCTAAGTGACGTTCTCTATTAACAGCCTGTCCAATTCTCCTTCTTGTTGTGAAGGTCTTCCCTGTAGATCTGTATGATTTGAGTGACAGCCTTCTTGGTTTCTATGGATATACAGAATTCCTCTGATGTCTTATGTTCGTGTGAATTTTTTGATGTATATTACAAGACAATGTCTTCTTGTTCAACATGTCAGCAGAAGCTTGCAGTAAATATGCAGTTTTAGTTTCGAGTCATTTAACTCGGTAAAGAGACTTGGATCTTTGATGATTATAGAACACTAATGGATTTGGTTGTTTACAGCTAACAGTATCCAAAGAATGAGGAGGACACCTCCACTAGATGAACTGCAGCCTCCGCCTTACCAAGATGACAGTGGATCTCCTCGCCTCTCCTGTACGCCCTCTGAACTCGGGGACAGTAAATGTGAACTGTCACACGGTAGCAATAGTCCCAGATACTCATATAACAAGTGCCCCAGTGAGGGCAGTACGGGACATGAAATAGAAAGCTTCCAGAACAAGGGATATGAGGAAGATGTCCCAAGCGACAGCACAGCAGTTCTAAGCCCAGAGGTAAGTAATGGTAAAGAAAACTCCATGAAACATTGTATAGCTGTCTGAACTGGCTACATAACTTTAAATCTGATTTTTAGTATGACCCAGATTTACTACTAAACCTTGCTCTCACCTTCTAGATCAGGGGTCTCTAAAACTTCCAAACAAAGGGCCAGTTTACTGTCCTTCAGACTTTAGGGGGGGCCAGATTGTGGCCAGTGGAGATAGAAAAAGTCTCAGGGCCAACATCAGTGAGAGTAAACAAGGTCTCAGGTGTGGTGTTCAGTTGGATAGTTCCTGTGATCAGTAGGAGGAGGAATAGTGTCCTATCATTGCTATCACTGGAAGGAATATTGGCACATCATTGATGTTAGTGGATGACATCATTGATATTAGTGGGAAGAATAGTGTACCATTGCTGGTGTCAGTTGGGGGAATTATGCCCCACTTTTGGAGTCAGTGTTAGGAATAGTACCCCAAGGGCCAGATAAAGACTAGCAAAGGGCCACAGTTTGGAGACCACTGCTCTAGATCATGTTCTTGCAATATTTTTTTCCTTTTACCCTTTCCTGGTAGCAAGAAATAGCTTTTAATACTCCCTTTAACGTCATCACCAGGCTTGTAAAATTATTCTAAAGACAGCTGCTGGGAGGAAGCAGCAACAGGGTGTCCCATGCAATTTCTTATTGACATAGGCACACACCCCCACCCCCCAGAACCACATCTCCCAAGAATCCTTTTACTTATATGCAGTATATGGGCAGGCTTTTGAGAGGGCAATGACATTGTTTTGTATTGTGTAGGAAGTATTATACAGAATCGCGGGGGGGGGGGGGAACAAGAGGAGTTGGATCGGGGCTGCTCTTTGCAATGATGAGGGAGATGTGGTAGGTCTGTTTGGAAGCGCAATACAGAGGAAATAATTATATTTTATTAGAGCAGATATAGAATCTGTGAATACTTGCAAGGATTTAGTTTTACGCCACACTTCTTATTGAGCATGAATATATCTTTTGAGACTTCTAGCGTCACCTGCTTGCCGGGGTTGTAGCTGTCAGAGCTTAAGGCTACTTTCACACTGATCCGCCTCAAAGACAGCAAAAACGCATAGGCGTTTTTACCGCGCGTTTCTCAGAGTTTTTAAAGGATACGTGACTTAAAAACTGCTCCAAAAATGCTTCTCAGAGGCATTTTCCAGGCGTTTTCCATTGATTGATTTCAATGGGAAGTGGCATTTTGGGGTTTTTTTTCTAACTCCCCAAACATGCCCCAGAGGTGCTGCAAGCAGGAGTTTTTACACCACATCGCAAGCACAATGCCTCAGTGTAAAAATATACATAGATATACATTCACATACACAGGGAAGCAGTTTTCTTGAGCTTTTTTTTAATGCACAAATGCTTGAAAAACTCCTCAGTGTGAAAGCAGCCTAATCTGTATGTTATGAGTATGCAAGTGTGTCCAGGGAGAATGACAGTTGTAGACAGACGTGGTACGTTAGGTCAGGACAGGGGGGTGAGATTTTTTTGTATAGGTAGTCCATAGCAGAATAGAGAAGAGAAGGGCTAAAGTTGCAAAAGTTTCTATGGGTAACTGCTGGTTGGAGGGATAGGGAGTTTAAGACAGGGAGAGCTTGAAACTAATAAGGTTGTGATCAGTGAGGAAAAGGGGTGTTGGAGAGGTTCCAAGGAGTGCAGCAGTGAGAAAATACAAGGTCCAGGCTGTTTCTATCAGAGTGGACATCAACATGTACTTCTCAGCTTGTAAACTTAACTGGTGGTCTTGCAGCAGTGCTCCCTGCCAGCCACAATATGGCACCTCCTCTAAGTTATACAGTATCTGTATGTCAGGTGCCAATAAATGTTCTCTTCCCCTGGGCCGAGATTTTCACAACACTGAGATTAGAGGTCACATTAAGGCAGAGCTGGCATTGTGTGTTCTAAGTCTTCTCTTCTTACACTAGTCTGGCCTCATCTGTTACACATTTAATTGATAAAATGATGATTTGTTTTCCACAGTACAATACGCACGACAGCACAATTTTGAGTAGAAATTGAATTTGCATTTACTTTTTCAAGTGCCATATACTGTATACACTGCTCCATCTACCATCATATTATTTTAAATTTTTTTAACCACTTCAGCTCCAGAAGGTTTTCCCCCCTTCCTGACCAGGCTGTTTTTTTTTGCTATTTGTCACTGTGCTATTTAAACTGGTAATTACATGGTCATGCAACGTTGTACACAAACGAAATGTATGTTCTTTTTTCACACAAATAAAGCTTTCGTTTGGTGGTATTTGATCACAACTGGGTTTTCTGTTTTTTGTGATATAACTTCTACTTTCTGTTATTAAAAATATCCAATAAACTCAAATTTAGTTATAAATATAGGCCAAAATGTATTCTGCTACATGTCTTTGGTAAATAAAAATCCCAATACATGTATATTAATTGGTGTGTGTGACAGTTATAGTGTC